TGTGGATTTCCATGGGTACTTTATTATGGTAGTCACAGATAATTAAATCTATACATGAAGGTTGTATTGAAAATATTCTTTCTAATCTAAAGGTCTGTAGGCTTGATCTAATTTTGGCTTCACTACAGTGTTTCATAAGGGAATTTCAGAATTTTATTATTCTTACATGGTCTTCTACAATAGAAAGGTGTCTATTCTCCAACAGAGGCTGGGCGTAGTGGCTCACGACTGTAATCCTAGCACTTTGGGAGGCTGAGGCAGGCAGATCGCTTGAGGTCAGAAGTTCAAGACCAGCCTGGGAAACATGGTGAAAACCCTGTCTCTACTAAAAATAAATAAAAAAAAATATTAGCCAGGTATGGTGGCACACGCCTGTAATCCCAGCTACTTGGGAGGCTGGGGTGGAAGAATCACTCGAACCCAGGAGGCAGAGGTTGCAATGAGCTGAGATCACACTACTGCACTCCAGCCTGGCTGACGGGGGGACTCTGTCTCAGAAAAAAAAAAGAAAAAAAAGAAAGGTGTCTATTCTCCAATAGAAAGGTATAGTATGAAGAAGGAATTATTCAAAACTATTACGTAAGTTTTTGATTTAGAGTTTAACAGAACATTTGTTTACACAAAAGGAGGTGCAGAATGAAGATGGACAAAAGTAGTATGATAAATCACATCCCTTGAATACATAATAACAATGTATATTAATATCACTCAATATGCGACGAGACCTTTAAAGCAAATCCTTTCCATGATCCTCAACAAAGGTTTCCTTATGAACAGAAACAACACTGGTGGGTTTTACTTCTTTCCCTTTCCAAGTGCTATTTTCCTTTTGTTTCTGGATGGTAACACACTATCATGAGAGCAAGGAAGTGGCGTCAAGAGCCCGGTGAGGCACACTGTGGAGAGGCCGGCATACAACATGGATTAGAATCTACTGTGTGCCCTGGTACTTTCACCTCTGTTAAGAACTCTGGGAGCTGGGTGTTATGGTCCCTATTTGTAGATAAGGGTGCAGAAGCTCAGGGAAATTAAGGAACTCGCCCAAAGTCACATATTTGACAATAAAAGTAGATTATAAGGTCCATATGGAAATGTAATATGTCCACTTCTCTAAATAATCATAACTGTATCATCCTGCAGTCATAATTTTCACTGATTGAAGCCCCCTCTAAGAGAATTCTTGAATATAGATCTATACTGAATATAATTCCAGAAGTGGTATTCAGGCATTTATAAGAATGTATATTGTTTTAGTGAAACACAGAATGGCTTACCCAGGTGTATAAAACATAAATTTGTGCGGTCGTCAGTAGAAATTTATTACCAAGATAGGTTAACCTTGCTCAATGATATGACACAGCTACAATTCATCATCACTTAACAACTATTTAAATAATTAATGACAATGCAGACTATTAGAAGCTAAAATACCCAAATGTAAGAGATCTAGGGCTATAACAGCATGCATCACATCTAGTTTCACATGCAAGATAGAATGATTAGAGTATAGAGTTTGTGTGCTTTGGAATCAGGTCTGGATACAAAACCTGGTTATAAGAATTACTGGCAGTATAAGGAAGTAAGAGACTTAGGTCAGTTTTTCTCATCCTCACTTTACTTGGCTGCAAATGAGATGAAAAAGTACCAACTTCACAGGATTAAGATCCTGATAACAGGATTAACATTCTGATAATGTATACTAAGAGCCTATCTGGCACAAAGTCAGTGCACAACAAATGGAAGCTGTTATTACTCTAGTTTTCTAATTGATTTGGGCATAAGTCTGATCTCTCCAAATGAGGTGCTTGGGGACTAGGCTTTATTGGTATTGTCAAAGCCCTCTAGCCAAAGACTGCCAGGAACACACTAATAGTGGAAAGAGTTGGGTTTGATATTTATTGCAGTGAAGGAGAATGCTTACCATGGGGCAGCATGGGTTGTATCAGTAAGAGGGTTTTAGAAAAAGAATGTATTATAGAATTTAGGCTTTGGTTGGGTGATTTTGGGGAAACTCTAAGGAAGGAGGGGTTCGTTCCAGATTGGCTGCTGTCAGAAAGCAAGGGCAATTCCACAGGGAGGGCAGTCCAGAGTGAGGACCAAGCTGTAATAGGTACAGAAGCAGCAGTCACTCTTAATAGCTGGGAGAGGACAATGTTAAGTATTTTGTGGGTGGCACAGTGACCTTGTTTTTGTCTGTGCTTAGAAAACATTCCGATGTAGTCTTGTTTTGTCTCCTTTTATCATGCGCTCAGCATTATCTTGTCTGATGTTGGTATTCTGAGAGATTATGTCCAATAAGACAGTAACATGGTCTAGCTCTGACAGCCAGTCATTGAGAGTAACGCCAGCTTCTAACAACAGTGAGGCCACAGTGTCAAATCAGTTCCTGGATGTCAGGGACTGCTTTTTTCTTTCTCAGTATCTTTTCAAAGCTTCTAGGAAGTCACATCTATTGAGCGTTTAAAAAGCTTCCTGAATTAATGAAAAAACCATGTTTAAAAGTGAGTTGTATGTTGTAAGAATGCAATCTTTTACAACTATACTTATATCATTACTTTTAATTAAGAAGCTTGCTTCATTTACTATGCCTCTCAAATGGATGGCAGCAGAAAAACAACCAATTTAATTTTAGTTTACAGTTGGAAATTCTAAGTGATTTTACTAAGATTATGTTTTGAGTCAAGAGCCACAGTACAATCAGTTTACTTTCCTCTACAAGATGTAATGTTATTACATTTTATTAGGAAGTTCTCTCTCTCTTCTCTGATGATTGTACTCAGTGGGCCAGAGTCTTTTCTTCATGCATTCCCATGGCCAGAAAAAGAAAAAGAAATTAACTCTGAGCATCTGCCTAATCACACTTAGCCAGACTTCAAAAAGGACGGCACCTTCCAATTTTGAAAACACATATTGTGAATACTTTTCTTCCTCAAATGAATATTATCTTTGTAAGTAATTTAAAAGATTTAATGGTCACTTATCATACACTTTTTGGGAGAAATGTTTTCATAGCACATTAGGATTAGTATTTGCCACCCTCATGCCAAGCTGAACATTAGGTATTTTAAGGTTATAACAGAAATAATTTTGAAAGAGTGGATCAGTTTTAAAATGTGGCTACACAATGGTCATATATCACCTGTTTCAAAACAGGTTTTACTGCCATATCAAACTCTCCCTCACCCCAAATCTTTCAGAGTGGTCTATGACAGTTCCACAAATAACTGTCCCACACTCATAGTTGGCCTCAGTTCTAGCGTTTTACTACCTGAAGGTATTGTGAATTAAAAGGATAACAACCAAAATCTCAAATAATGTGGAACTTGTGAAGAAATAAGTAAGACCTGGTGTGGGAAGATCAGTCCTGAATTATGGCAACACCTTTATTCTACAGTCTACAGAAAAGCTTTCAAACTAGTAGCTGCTCCTGATATGTCTTAGGGCAAGCTTCTCATTCCTAGTCAAACACTTGGCTAGAAGTTCTCATAACTGGAATATCAGTGGCAATAGTAAACAGAGTTTAAAAGGCTGAGCTCATCAAGCCTCCAAAGAATCAAAGCAAATAGCAGATGTCAAACTATCTGTTACTAAATGGGCTAATTACAACTTTTAAGTATCTGAGGGGGAGAAAATGAGAAACTTCAGCCAAAAGTTCTGGGGTCTTAACAAAACAGATATACTGAAAAAAACTATCATTAAATAATGAAATCAAGATTTAGAGTCACTAGTATCACAAAACATAATAAATTAATGTGTCTATATATATTTTATTTATATATGTGTGTTTATAAGCATTTTGTGAAATAAACATATTTCCAGATATAAATGAAGATCAAGGATATTCACCACTTAAATATCTGAAGTGGTTTTTGGTAAGCTGGTTAAGTTGATGGGTATAAAAGGCTTTTTTATTAATGACTACAAAGAATCTCCAAAATTTAAAGTATATTATGAAAATGATATAATAATAAAATACCTTTTTAGGATGACAAGTACTAATATACATTATCATAAATTACATCAGATTGTTTTTAATATATAAATGGTAAAATTTTATAAAAATATGGATCATGAAGTAATAATTTCATTACTTAATACTGAATAATTTAATGCTTAATACTTCTTAATACATAATAATTTCATTACTTTATTAATTTCATTACTTTTACGCTGCTCTCATAAAACTTATACAGCTGAAAACAAACACCTCATAATTAATCTTCATTCATTTTACAGAATATAGTATATAATAAATTATATATGTCAAGTGTATTAATCTGAATAACAGAAAAAACAATGATTGAGCTACTTTTATATACCTGGTGGGTTAAAACTCTGCACTAATCAGTAATGGCTTAAATTATAACACTGTCTGCATCATCTGCAAAGCAGTAATAAAGAGATAAGGAGAGTTCAGAGGAGGAACCAGAAATATAAACAATGAAATCTTAACAACTGGAATAGAAGCTTTCGAGAGTTTACACATTTGCTCAGTAAATATTATCTTAAGGATATTTGAAAAAAATATTAATCCAGTGGATATGCCAAGTTAAAAGATGTTAGAGTTCTCCACGTATGCCAATGCCCTATGTGGCCCTAGAGGAGTAGCAACTTATTGGGGAAATGTTTGTTACCCTTATTAGTAAAAAGGAGACACACTAATGATTAACTTTAAAGGACACTTTAATGATAAATCATTACATTATAAAATCGAATACTTACTAAAACATATAAAAACCATATAACATATATACAGTGCTAAAGAACAATTTACTTTTTCATGGAGTTTAATAAACCTACTTTCAGAAATTATCTTTCAAGTTAAATTAACAATGGCACCTATGTTTTTTCCCCCCTAAGTGTTTAAGTTCAGGTGCAATGAATTTCTCTATCACAACTTTAGGTCAACTCATAAAACTAGTTTTGCAGAGTAGATTACAGTTAATTCTTGGTTTCTGCCTAGTATTCTTCAAAGATAGAAAATTTGAATGTTGTCTTACCTGACCAGGTTCTGTTCCAGTTACAGTCAAGTCTTGGATGGATCTACGTCTTGGCTGTCCGTTGCCTTTAAAAAGAAGAAAAAAAGTAAAATACTAAAATCTATTCAGACAGACAAAAAGGGTGTAATTGCTACAGCAGAAAGTTGGAATTTGTTGCTCCTTGTATCTACACAAAATGTTTGTGGGGGGAAAAAAGTGAGTTTATTGCTAAGAAAAAAAAAAAAAGAAGAGAAAGATGTAAAGAAAGGAAGAGAAACAGCTGCAGTGTTTTAACTCAAAAGTTGCTGGCCTACAACAGAGTATGTCCTAATACAATAACCACTTCTACCACATGAATAGCTGCTGAACTCTCTTCCACCATCTTCTGTCATGTGTTTAAATAGATGAATGCTTGGGGGCTGGGGCTGATGACGGCATCTATTTCAAGGGCCTTACGTTACAGTTTTTACAGCAAGACAGCTAGCAGGTTGTAAGACACAACTGACTTTAACTGGCAGCAATATCTTTTTCATTTCAGGGTCTAAAAGATGCTTAGGCTTAAATTTATTATATTGAGTCACGCTTACTTAATCCCCATTAGTCTTTGTCAGAATCCAGTAATTTATTATTTGTGAACAACAACTCTTACTTTCCCACTGGATGTTAATAATTGTCACTCTGTTCTCAAATACACAGCTTGTTGAAATGGGCTATTTTGTTAATTCTGCTTTAGAAATTTCTATGCTTATAATTTATTTAATTAAAAATCAATTTATGAAAGAATTATACACATATAAGTCCTCAGCAAAACAATGAATTGAGCAATAGCTTCACTTAGCACTTTTATTTGGGAATAAGGCTGTTTATGCAGTATCTTCTAACATGAAAGATCAGCTGTCTAAAAGGAAACACCAAAATACTGAGTAACAGCTGATACAATACTCAAAATTCTTTTGACTCTGAAATCTGTATTATGTAATTTCTCAACTAGTGGCAACAGTTAGAACATGTACTCACTCTAATTGTAGTTTCCTGATTAGTAGACAGAATTCATTCTTAAAATTTTAGACTTCCAGAATCTTTCATAGAAACATCTTTTTAAAACCAATCAGCAATATAACTTAGCACCTTAACCCACATGACCCCATTATTATGCTGCAGATAAACTAAAAGGACCTTACAGTGGAATAAGAATGTTTAATGGAATAATATATGTAGTGAATATAAAAACTCAAATTTGTAACTCCTCTTGCAAATGTAAGACATCATCAGTTTTCTCCATTTTAAGTTATGTTTTATGATTCTTTGCATTATTTGAATTCAAATTTACTTCAAATGTCATTTTATTCCAAAAATTTCAACTTTTCATTACAAATTAAAACAACTGTGCATGTATTGAATTAGACCCACTAGATCACTTTTATGAATACTTTCAACTACCCCTGTTTCCCAAGGACAAAAAGGATCCCCACAACCATGACTAATAAGCAATTTTAGGCACATTTCATTCAACACACTCATTCTAAAATTAGCGGTGATGAGACAGGCTTGAAAAAGTGTCTGGAATTCTCTTTTCAGATTAGCAACATGGCAACATTTGTGAATCTGAGGAACCACCCAACACATGTGTCTATAAACCATTACATCACTATTGCAATAACAACAAAAACTGAACTCAAATTTAGGTGGAAGAATAGGAGAAAGGGGAAGTAAAAACTTTTAAGGAAGTAACGTAAAGAAGAGCTGACAGTTAACAAATGCCATAAAACGAAAAATCTTTAAGCTACCACATGAATCAAAGCAAGCAGTGTTAGGCAATGCATTTTAATTAGCACAACCATGGCAGAAACCATCTGGCAGATAGTTCAGACAAAGCAAAACAGGATTGCAATCAACAAATACTTGTTGCTCCAATATTAAATTTTAAGTCATAATTTAGAAATATGAATGTAAGAAAAATCAACCTCCTATTACTTCAAATGAAAATTACTGGGTGTGTTCTCAGTAAATTTGAATTGATTCTGAAGTTTTTTGCAACAGAATACTAATTTAGACATTCACTCATTTTACCTTTTTTGGTCCTTTGATATGTACATACCTATATTATACAAGGTAGTATAGATGAAAAAGTAGTAGAAATGAGGACAGCATGATGTAAACAGATGCCTGATCAAGGAATCTGAAACCTGCATATGCTATCTTGAGTATTTCATTCTGTAATGAATTCTGGAATGTTCATGTCTTATAATACAGAACAAATTACACTTTTTAGAATGACTTCTAAGAATACATCACATTGCCAGTGCATACTAAATCTGCACTCCTGCCCCCTGCAAATAGAAAGCAACTTAGGGGTCAGTTCCATTCTTTTTACAGTAATTTCATTAAGACAGAGCTCCTCTTCAAAAAAGCTGCTCTTTTAAGGACAACTGATTTCCTGAGCTGGTATTTAAAAGTTATCCCGGACTTCTTCCAGAGACTGCTGGCTTAAATCCCAGACAGTCACTCCTATAATTTTTCTTATCAGCTAAGCTCATAGTTTTCCTTGACTTACACTACTCTTATTTTCTACTTTAAAACTTCCTGAAGACTGTCTTCATGTAAAAATCAGCACTACATTTTCCGGGAGACCTCTCTTAACCTAAATGTTAGAAATTTTGAGAATCACAAGTTTTGAATATTACAAATTATGGGACACCATTCTCTTCATGTGTAAAATACCCAAGATTAAAAAAAAATGCATAGCATGATATAGTAGCATCACATTACTGCTTTATGGTAAACTGAACATGTAATTTTAAAATATATGTTCTCATTTAGGTGGCCAAAGTTTCATATTTCTTTACTAATTTCAACAAACCCTGGCTCTTTCACTGGAAAGGTTGGTCAGGTGGTTTATTTGCTTTGCAATAAAACAGCTTTATTAGGTTAGAGTTGAATTTTTTTAGATTACAAAAAGTGATCTTGGTAGACTATTCAATATGGCAGAAAGGCCACCTAAATATTCATTATAAGTTAGATTAACTTCCCTATTTAATCTGCCACAAATACAGAATTTTATTGAAAGTGAGGTGGCTATATACAGAAACTAGTACAGTACATCTTAGTATATAGCACCCCTTAACCCCAGGATCCCTATCAAAGGCTTACAACTGCTAATGACACTACCTGTGCTAGGTAAGAACTTGTCAGATCTAGAAAAACTCAATTCTGTCTCTCATTGCCTCTTCATATTGGTGCTGCAGTAGTTTGGGGGAAATATTTAATAACTGACATGCTTCCAGTTAAAGATAGGCTTACAAACATTAGTTATCGACCAGCCCTTGAACCAAATATAGTATTAAAAGAGTGATCTTTTCATCCTGGTGGAGAAAGCAAAATAGTGCTCACATGTCCTTGAAAAGTATCTCTGCTTCCAGTTGTTTAAGCATTCTATAAAGCCCTCCCCACCTAGGTAATTTATTTGCCAATACCTGACATTTGAAACTTCTGAAGGAGGGCAACAAGATACAAGTATTAGAAGCCTAACTATTCATCTATTTTTCTGTTAAAACGTTTGGGCCTTTCTACATTCTACTTACTACAATTTACTACGTATCATACTCTTAGTAAAAAAGTTAAAAAACCAATATACAATAGAGCTAAACGTCCTTGACTGAAATTAAAAGCGAATACGTGTTAAGTTTTTGATCTAAATGCGGCTGAAATCATAAGGACACCTAAGGTTTCTTTTTAGCTTTAAGAATGATATTACAAACAATAAATATCAATTAAGTTCAGGCTCTGCAGGAAACTAGACAAAAATCTTACATATTTCAGTAAGATCTGACTCAAAAACATTTGTATATTCAATCTTCTCTTGCATATCCTTAAGAACAGTATGTAAGACAGAAAATCCTCTTTAGTCAAGGCATTTTATAGCTCTCGAATGTTATGCCATATTATTTGGGCTTAGAAATAACAAAAGGCACAATGTTCAAGGTTCTCAAATTAAAGCACTTCAAAGCAATGCTCATCTATAGAATGGATAGTTTTCAAGTACTTAAAACGAAATCAAACATTATAATCTAATCTGAACTAAGAAATAAATTCAGAATTATCTATGATGATATAATAGCATTAAAAATTTCTGTAATTTAGAAAATTTTACTCTTGCATATCACATTTGGGAAACCAGTTTCACTTTACAAAAGCAAACAAGCAGGTATGAACCATGTACAACAAATTTTATATCAGAGTAGAAGTGCAGAAGACTAATGTTTAATTAAATCGTTTATAGGTGGTAAGTATATATGCATATGACAGTATTTTTTTCCAGTAGGTTTTAGAATGCATTATCACTACAGTTTATTTCCTTAAATGCTGTAACTACTCACACAAAGGCTCCAGAGCAGAGCTGCCCATCTTCCATTATTGAAGCTACAAACATGAAAAAAAATTCGCTTTCTTAACTACTTATTCTCTTACTCTACATGTTAAACTGGAAAAGTTTGTTCCTCTTTTTATTTATTAGAATGCCTAATATTTAGGCATTCTACCTGTTCCTCTTTGACACTTGGATTTTTAAAAGAAATGTAAAACTTAGGTATTCTTCTAACATCAGATGAACTGCATTGAATGTATTATATAGTTTCACAATCACAATAATCTATTTCATTTGTGTATTTGAGATGAAGGTGGGTGAAAAATAGATTCTTGGAAGCTTGGATAGTGACAAAAGGAAAATATGGGGGAAAGTAAAGAAAATCCAAGCAAAACAAAGATCTATGTTCTTACTGCCCTTATTAAAGTCCTAGAACCAAAAAAACCTAGAAAAACTTCAAGGAATCCAATAATCTGCCACCCATTCCTTTTCTTCAAATATAAGTGTAACAAATTAGATGTACTGGCTGAAAGGAGAAAAGATATGGTTTTTAAAACTCAAGTTTTAACAAAAAACATTTAAGAAAATCTATTTTTTTCTCTAAGTCCCTTCCAACTTATCAGCAAGCAAATGCATTAGAAAACTGTAGTTCAAATGGTCTAAATACTGGGCAACAAACTTCCACATTTACATTTACTTTGCTTAGGTAGCACACTGCCGCTTGGCAGGACCTCCTCTACAAAGGAAGAGTCAGCAAAATGTCACACATTCTACTGGTAATTTGCTTTTAGCTGCGTGTCTTCCCTGTAAAAAGGAGCCAGGCTAATCTATAAAGCTCATTCTTCTAAGGGCAGATGGACAATGGAAAGAAGGAAGGATTACCATACAAAGGTTTGCCAATTCTTCTTCAGAGCCAGTGATATGGTAGAAGAGGTATAAAAAATTGTACAGTCTGACCCACAGGGAGTCCTAAGGTATTAAAGGTTAATTTCTGTATGACCTGAGAGACTACTAAATTGATAAATACTGCTGTTTTGCTAAGTTGCTTTTTCTTTCACATTTGACTGATGGCATAGTATACATATTTTGAAAAGCAAGCAAAAAACAAGATTAGGGTCTTCGCATTTCTTTATCTATGACTAGGTTGGACATTTTAGTGACTATAAAGATGTATATACAAAATCTTTTTGTGATGCTTGAAGGATTGCTTTTATTAAGAGAGGTAGTTCATTCCAAGAAGTACATTAGACTTAGTATATTGCACTTGGCCAAAGGGAAGTATTATTGAAACTACTTATCCATATAAATAAGATTTTAAAAAAGCTATATTTAAAAAGAATGCTTGCAATTGGGTTTTGATGAAACAGTTTGAATATATCAAGACATGTTTGCTAATACCATAAAGCTTGTGGGAAATCCACTTAGAACAAAAAAAATTCTAGAAAGTATTAAGAAATTTTGGAAATTAACTATCACCCTTCTTTATAATTAAAATGTCATGTATGAAATCTGAGATATTCCCACAGGGTGGGCGATATTTTTATATTTAATTAAAAAATATTACCTATGAGCACATTCATAACTGGCTTTTATGTCCACTAGTATCAATTCTACAGCTTGTATTCTTCTATTAAAAAAAGTGCATCTGAGTAAGTTAATGTTTGATATCTGAGGGGGGAGAAGCCTAAAAAGAATGTTTAATAAAAGGTATTACTTTGGGAGGCCGAGGCGGACAGATCACAAGGTCAGGAGATCCAGACCACGGTGAAACCCCATCTCTACTAAAAAAAAATACAAGGGCCGGGCGTGGTGGCTCAAGCCTGTAATCCCAGCACTTTGGGAGGCCGAGGCGGGCGGATCACAAGGTCAGGAGATCGAGACCATCCTGGCTAACACGGTGAAACCCAGTCTCTACTAAAAATACAAAAAACTAGCCGGGCGAGGTGGCGGGCGCCTGTAGTCCCAGCTACTCAGGAGGCTGAGGCAGGAGAATGGCGTAAACCCAGGAGGCGGAGCTTGCAGTGAGCCGAGATTGCGCCACTGCACTCTAGCCTGGACACAGAGCGAGACTCATCTCAAAAAAAAAAATAAAAAAATAAAATTAAAGGTATTACTGAATAATATTTTCACATGAATAGCACTGCTGCTCTGGCAATTAAGAGAATTAAGGTTACCTGATTCCATAAACGCCCAATGTCATAAAAGAGGATCTCCCTGGCTGAAGAGCTCTCCTTAATGTGAACACTAAGAGAAAGCAAGAAGAAATTACTCTAGCTTCTCTGACTTACACAAAAGAACAAAAAATGGATGTGATTTGGAGTCAAAGATCCAGGTCATGGTCCTGGCTATATGATTCCGTAAAAACTACTACACATCATCAGATCTAAGTTCTTCATCTGTTAAACGGCTTTAATTTCATCTGATAACCTAGTTATAAGGTTGTCAAAAAGGTGAAATAATATGTACTTTAAGCTACTTTGTAGGGCACAAAGAACATCTAATCGGGGGGGTTCAGCCTCAGCACTGTTGACATTTTGGGCTGGATCAGATCATTCTTTGTTGGAGGAGACTGCCTGGTACAAATCAGGATGTTTAGCAGCATCCCTGGTTTCTGTCTACTAGATGCCAGCAGTACCTGACAGTTGCAAACTATTATTCTTTCCTTATTTTTCCCTCCCCCGTTAGCTTGTACAGTATGGGCTATACTGCCACATATAAATTTATTCTTAATGCTTAGCCGTAAGATTATACTGCCAACTGTCTAAGTTTTCCTGATTCCCTCAAACATTTAAGGGAATCACAGTTCAGCAGTATGCAAGTTTAAATGCTTCCACCTCTTTAAAGTACTAGACCCTTATACACAGTACCTTTCAGCATGGAGGTAAAATGATCTCCATGTAAAATAATCTCTTTGTTAATTTCTAAAATAGTCCAGATTCAATAAGTACAAATCACCAAGTGAAAAATGGGTTAATTCTATTCTTTAAATAGCAATAGTGATGATGTTGTAAAATAAGAAACCACTTTGATAACCAGGGAAAAATAAATATAAAATAGTTTTGTACAGACAAAATGGCACCTAAGAATTGTATAATTCATATTTTTGTTTTTGTATGCTAGTTCCTCACCAGTGGAGATGCTTAGTAAGTCTGTTCATTTACTTAATAAACATATTTATTAAACACTATGTTAATATGCTTAATATGTGAAGCACTGAGCCAGCAACTGCTGATAAAATCAATAATAACCACCACCACCAACAAAAAAATAACGCACAAAAATATGGTTTCTATCCTCACATAGTTTTCAGTTTAGTAGAGGAGAAAATAACCATTAAGTATTCAACTAGAGTATCAACACTACTAAAAACAATCACAGGTAAAAGACAGCGTGCTGAAGAATTCATCCAACTCACACTCATGAACATGTGTGGAAAATATGTATTTCCTTATCAAGATTTTGGGTAAAGAGGTAGAGAAAAACCTAAAGGGATAAATAAATGATCATTTTGATAACACATTAATCAATATTGAAGGTCAATATGCCATTTAAATTTCTATTAAAAATGGTAACATATTCATCTATGAAATGATCACCATAAGAACAAAGCAGTTTACCAATTTTAGACACTAAAGTACCATGTGTAAGTTAGGTATAAAAACATGTAATTTATGAGATTTTCCTGATAATACACAAAAATCAGAATTGACCAATTATTTTACATGATTCTTTGGCAAGATACCCTGCAAAACAGCACATCTCATTTAGCTTTACTTTTTGTTTTCTAGGTTAAGGCGAAATGCTATTTAGCAACTCTCTTCTCTCAACTTCGTATTCACTTGCTACCAACAGAAAGAGGCTAGGATAGAAAGTCTAGAGGGGACCCCAAAAGCAGTAACTCAGGAAGGAAAGGAGCCAAGGAAAAGAACAAATTTTAATTAGGAGTTTCCTCTTTCTGTTGGGTGCAAAAAAGGTCTGGGTTTAAGCTCATGTGCTCACTTAAAAGTAGAGAGGAAGTTGGTAGAATTCTGGGTTGTTCTCCCTTCTCCAAAAAGGTTTACTTTCTCTTCTATTTTATCCTCATTTATTGCAGATCAGAGGTATCTTTTCAAGACTGCTTCAGAATAAATGTAGTTTTTCAATATGTCTCCCTAATTATTGCATGCAAGGTATCCATTTTTCATGTCCTGTAAAAATTGGAGCAAGAAGCATTTTACAAGTACCAGGGATCATTATTCTGGTTCCACAGCTATTAGACCAACTCAGGTGGTCTGTGATACCTGATATGACGATCTCAGGGACATCCAGAATGTTGCCAAATGAAGCGGTTTTACGGTGGCCCCGTTTAGGCTTGGAATAGGCTGCAAAAACACATATATACAGTATACATGCAAACAACCACAAACAGTAACACAGAAAATGATTAACTACAAAAATAGAGTCATTTTCAAATAGTTCATGTTAATAACATTTCATGCAGAATGGCATGCAGAACTACCTAACTTTTCATCCATGCTCAGAAAAGGCGAGATTAAAGAGCAAACAACTACCAAATACAAGATGTCTTACACACTGGTTTTAATCAGCAGAAAAAATAAAAAGAACAGAGACAAAGCTGCAGGGTAATGAGGAAGCAAAATTTCAAATATATTCATAGAAACAGTCTACCTAAGTGAAATCACTGATATGTGATGGGGGTGGGGGAACGAAGGAGGAAAGGAAGAAAGACATTAAAAAGTAAGTAGTCATATTTGTTTTAATTACACAAACACAGGAATATATGTTCAAGTTAGGTGATTCTTGAAGTGTGCTATAAAGTAAAATTCAATGATTAAATACTAATTATTGAATCAAAGTGTGAAATGTATATACTTTTGTAATCATACATATTTCTAGTAAACCAAATATTTATTATATTTTCCAAAGTTTAGGGTACATTCACAGTAAACACAAAGTCTGTCAAAAGGCTGGAAAGTATGAATCTTTCCAAGTAAGACAATTCATGAAAAAATATAAATTGTGTAAAGCTCAAAGGATGTACAACAGCATTTGTTCTACATTTAGGCAAAAAAAGATAGGGTAATTTTAATGTGTGTGGTTATCCTTCTAGCAAAGTCATTTCTGTAAATAATAATAAAAAACCAGTGCTTGACTAGAAATATGATACCAGCAAAGACATGAAACCATTATTATAACAATTTTTAGTTTTGAGACAGCAATCAGAATGTGGCAGATCTATCCTTAATAACATGCCTGAAGTGAAAAGGGTTCCTCAAAGCGTGAGGGTATGTCCCTGTGAATAGGGTTCATCTGACACTACAGTGAGACAACCCTGCTCCGAAGAAATACTTGTGATTCATGGAGACTCTGGGCTTGTCAGTGGCTGGTGACTTCTCAACTTGATAGTTTCTGAAGATCCATCTGTGGCAGACACAGCTATCTTCTGCCGGTCTCTACTCTTCCCTTCTGTTTTAGCAATAGTACTCTGATTTTATTTAGGACAGAAAAGTCATCAGATAAAAGAGGGCAGATCTCCTCTTCCCTTGGAGCTACGTGTAGCCATTCGACCATGTTACTCTGACCAATGACGTGTGGACATTGTTAGGAGAGGCATCTGGGAATGTTCCTTCAAAGAACTTGGATGCCTATTTGCCCTACCCCCATGTCTTCCCCTTCCTGCTGCCTGGAATGTAGAAGTGATGAAAGGGAACTTTAACAACCATTTTGGTGCACAGGATAACTTTGAGAATGGAAGCTATACAATAGGGATTACGGCACAGAAATAGGAGACCAGTTACTTCAAGATCACAGAGCCCACTACCTTCAGACTTGTTTATGTGTGAAAAATAATGCTTATGTGTTATAGACACTGTTATTTTGGAAATCTGTTATATCTAACGGATTCTAATACTAGCTGATAAAAATCAATGATCATGATTAGTTGAAGACAAGTATAGTATGATGGTCCATCTTGACAACTTCTTTCTGAAAGAGCTCCACACACAATGAGAATATTCTATTTAGAAAAAAACCAAATAAGTGGAAAAAATACCTAAAAAATTGGTTAGCTAAGTTAAAAAAGATGCAAATACACATAGAAATATACATTTATACGTATATATATAGTTAAAAGACTGGGGTAAATACACAAAAATGTTAAGTGTTTATCTCTGAGTGGGGTAATTATGTAAGTTTTTTTGGCTTGTTTACATTTCCACATTTTCCACAACAGAAATGTGTTTACTTTTAAAATCAGCTCCCCCCAATCCCTGGAAAGAATCAGCAAAAAACAACAAAGTCCAAACTAAACCAGCATTACTAAGATGAAACCTGGTCAGAAAATTAGGTTGTCAGTTTACTTAGGTAACAAAACATGTAATTGTTTTTGTGCTGACCAGTTCTTCCATGATTAATAATTTTAAGAACTGAACAATGGAATTTAAATGCTAGCTTTTCCAAGATCCAATAAAATTATGATCTTTTACTTTACAATTAAAAAAATTAACCATAACCAGCTTAGCTAATATTTTGTCACTGGAATGAAGGAGCAGATAGAAGGTCAAATCATACGTGGATCTGGAATACATTTTTCTGTTAAATTTGAAACAAAATATTTGCTATTATTAGAGTTCAGCACAAAAATCTAGTAGTATCACTCAAAATCCCCAAAATATTCCGGTTTTGGCAGAATTTCTCACTCAGACTTTCAACTCATGCTTGAGCAGAAAGAATTACATTTGATAAAATCTGTAAATGAGGAAGGCATACTTTCTCATCCTAATTTTACAAGTCACACCTTCCTTATTTGGAATTTGAGATAAATGCAAAATTATTGCTAGTAACTTAGAAAAATATATTGTAAACCTACTTCCTATTTGAAAAAAAAAAAAAAAAGACACACACACAAAACCTCTGACAACTGAAACTACCATGGCCAAAAAGGCTTATATACATTTCACTCTTCAGACTTGTAGTTCCTTTTTACCTGTGGTTGCAGCGATCCTAGCTTCTATTTCAGACATGTCAGCACTCATCCTCTTTCCCTCAGAGGTTGGGGGCAAGCTCTCCACACTGCTCCCACGGGAGGCTCCCAAGCTTAAACGTCCAGATTCACTCTGTTAAAATTACAGGTCAATCTGAATTACTGAAGTTCTTTAGATTTAGCAGTCTTAGGCAACCTAAAAGGAGGAAGATGGCAAGTAGGATTCTGATGGATCCTGTTCTGCTCTGAAAGGACAGGGAAGTTTGCACGAGAGGGAGCTACAGCAGTAAGGGAAAGCAAGCTGCAGATACTGTTTTTATGAAAGAGTAGTCACTAGAACTGGGGCTAAAAGCCCCAATTATTCATTAACCTAAATGCCTCAGGCAAAATGAATAAACTCACTCCTTACAATATTTTTAAAAATCAACAACGGCAAAAATATAAATCTGAATAGCATGAAATGATACACTTAGGACAACTCCTCTAACTGGGCAGCACAGCCAAAATATATCCGTTTTACATTTTTAACCATCAACCATTACATTTAAGGATTATTATAGATAGGGAGTTAGAGTTGGCAAAGGTAGCAATCATTAGAAGGAAAAACCATTTGGTAATAAATGGTAGGAGAATCTCATTACAAGTCTCTATTTGTAAGCTCTTCTATATGTTTCAGGAAGAAAATTCAGGATTTATAAAATAGAAGATGGTAAATAATTAATTTCATTTAGTATAATATTGTAACTACTGTTAAGGTTACCAATTTTACTTGTAATAACAAAACAAACCTGTTGCTTTGCCTGATTTTTCAACAATTTTGACTCTAAGCGCTTAATAGTATCATTTGTGGCAGGAACTTGCTCCATATTAGTGTCACTTTTATTACTCGTATTTGTAGAAGCAATGTCCATGAATGAGCCTAGGAAAAGCAGAAACATTTATGACTACTGGTTGGAAATAATAAAAATGCTTCACTTAGTATTATGTAACTTACATTCTTTTATAAACTAGCCAGGCAGGAACAGAAATAAGACTTTTCAAGCTAATGTATCCAAACAAACCCATTTTAAGCAAAACTTAAGGCTAGCACAAAAGAGGAACCAAGATGCCTAAATAGTCTTCTAATAGTCAAGAATAACTTAAGGTTTTTAACCTGAGCTAGTAGAAGAACTGAGGGCTATTAATTGAGATGGGGAAAGACTACAGGAAGATTGAGTTTGAAGGAAGTATCAGGAACTCTGTTTGGAAAATATTGAGTTTCTAGTAGATGTAAAGAAAGTAGTTGGATATATGAGTATAGAGTTCAGGTATAAGATGGAAAAAATTATGAGCCAGCAGATGGTGGTATATAATGCCACAATACTGGATGAGGTTACCAAGGAAATGAGTGCAGACAGATAAGTGAAGAAGCCAAATGACTGGGCCCTGGGCACTTCAACATTTCTAGGTTGGGGAGATGAGGAATAACCAGCAAAGAAAACTGAGAACAGATGGCCAGAGATGTAAGATGGAATCTAGGCTAGTATGGTATCTCGGAGGCCAACTGAATAAAGTGCTGTGTGTAAGAAGGAGAAAGTAATGAATTAGATCAAGTGCTACTGAGAGTCAAGATGAGAAATGAAAATGATTCCTTAAATGTAGTGATGTAGAGATAACTAGTGACCTTGACAAGAACAATTCTGAAGTACTGGCATAATATGTCTGAATGGAGTCGGCTCAAGAAAGAGGAGGAAAAGAGAAGCTAGAGAATGCAAATACAGACTACGTATGTTCTAGGAATGATCCAGTAGAAAGTTAAAGCTGATGATGCAAGAGAGAGAGGAGAATTGCTCAGAAAAGTAGATGGGATATAATGCAGATGGGATATAATGCACAGGCAGAAAGGTACACCTTTGGCCAGAAGTATGGATAGTTCAGCCAGAGTAACAGAAGAAGGCAGAGTAGATGGGCACAGATGTTGTGGAAGCTGTCTTCTGATTACTCCACTTTTCTCAGATGAAGAGCAAACAAAATCAGCTGAGAGTGAGGAGTGGTGAGGAGGTGTTTGAAGCCCGAGGAGAGGCTACAGTATAAAATTAAGACATATAGGAGGAAAGAGATGAACTACAATATAGTACAACTGTCCAATAGCACTAAACATGCATGTGAGGATATCTCCAGCCATATTCAGCTGCACTGGTACAGGCAAGGGGTAACCCGAGTGTTAGCTTTTATTAGGCTTGTGGTTTAGCCAAGCAAGCTTGAGAGAGAGGCTAGAAAGATGAAAATTATTCCCAAAGGAATTATAATAGTTGATTGGAATTAAGTGGAGGGAGAAATAAAAAAGGACCTAAGAGGACTGAGGACCAGTGAAAAGGTGGGAGGCTAAAAAAACTCAAGGTCACAGTAAGGAAACCAAGAGAGGGTTTGGAGGACGTGGGAGATGCAAATTATAGAATTTTAGAGAAGTACATTTTAGAATTCAGAGCAACTCAAAATATTTTCAGTAAAACTAGAATTTGAGAATAACTAGCCAAACCATAAACCATCTCAAAATAAATAAAACTATTCTTGAGGTGGGAGAAATAGATCAGTAAAAGTATTCGCCAATAAATGCAGGGTAAATACATATGCATATAGACACACACGTAGTTTTTAGTTTTAATTAATAATGAAATGCTTATAATGCCACTATATTTTGAGAAGTACAATATTTCTAAGTTACAGTATTATTTCTACTATCTTTTTGATGACCACAAATTACATGTCCCACTACTACTTCACATTTCGGAAAACTAAGGAACTTTTAACATAGCTTCTTAAATCAGAGTCTCTGTAGAAAAGAACAAAAATTAGGGTGTTCATGATGAAGAAATGTGTTAAATACATTTACAATAATTTCTAATACCACTTGATCTAGTAGTATCCATTTAAAAGTTATCTTTAAAGTTAAGAATGACATTTACTGCAATACAATATGCCATCTTTTTATTCATAATTATGTAGGAATTCCAAGACTTGGAAGCAGGTCTTCAATAACTCTTTAATCAGGGTATCTTCATGAAGAATGATGCACCTGTAAACTTAAATTGCAGTCAATCATATGAAATGAAGGAATTAAAATGCAAATGGGGACATTATTCATTACTTCTTGATTATAATTTCACGGGAATAGAGACGAAGGAAAAATCGAGTCGATACTCTTCCAATCTATCCATTTACCTGTACTGGTGGCAGAGTTGCTCTGTCCTTCATCTGAATACTGACAAGGATACTGTAATGGCTCATCTGCTCCTGGAAAGTACTATATATAAAAAAGTAAACCACAGCTTAAAATTTCCTTAATACAAATTAAATCCTGTTAATGCTTTATTTTCCCTAAGGTATATACTAAATTTGTAGGTGCCTAAGTTTTTTATTTTACAAAGATTACAATAATGTACTCTTGGATTTCAACTTTGATCAATGCCATGCACCTACCTAAGAATCTAGCTTACATTGGAGTCTAGATAGTCTTGAAGAAAACAGCAAATATTTCTCTAGAGAAACATATGAAATAAAATAGTATCATTTCTCATAATTATATAAAACATATTCATGTTCTCACAATAGTGATGTAAACTTCCGTATTGTTGCAATGACTGTTAGTCTGATAACTGAGACTATTATACCATAGAATAATTGTTAGAACATTTTAAATATTAAGAGAATAGATTATGAATATCTTTCTACAAACTGGAGGCATAATATTCAAAGTATATGCTGGACAAAAATATTAGAATTTAGAGAAAAAAAGGAAAGGTATTCTCCTCAAATTAGACAAAGCACAGACTTCAACAACTTACATATCCCAAAGTTTTAAGTAATCTGACTACAGAGACTAAGTTGTTTTCTTATGCAAAAGGTTCTACATATGACTGGTATCCAAATATGATGGTAAACTTTTAGTAGATTAGTTCAAGCTGCTTTGCCTAAGAAATTTTTAATAGATTGAATAAACAACCTTTTATCATTTAGGAAATCACTTAGTCTATATTTATGAAGATTGTAAGATTCTTCTACTGAACAAACTGTTCCAAAATTCAGGCACTTTCACAGATATGTGAACTTTTTAAAGTCAAGATATCACTTCACAGTTTTTGTTAATGTACCAAAAACCAGACGTGTAAAATATTCCAAATAATTCTAATGGTGCTTAATTCATAGACTAGGAAAATTTGATAATAATTTAAAAAGGGTTCTTCTAAACAGAAGGAAGTTTAACTTTTTACTGGGATATAAAAACCTGATAATAGGCCAAATAGTAAAAGTCACTCAAATAAATGTGTCTGAGAATGCAACCTATTGCCTTGCATAAATGACTAAACGCTTGATGAAAACTGGCATCAGAAAAATGTAAAATTTAGTTTAGCATATATTGAAGTCATAATATTAATGTATCTAAGTCCTGTGACGGCTTTAGAGATTATTTCAGTTTCTCCCGCATTACAGATGAGGCAACAGGCCCAGGGACAAACATACTTATCCACTAATGTAAGCAAAAAGAAAAAAGCAAGTCTAGAAACCTAGTCCAGCCATCTTTCCAGTGATAAAGAACTAGATTTTCCCTCTCAAAATAATGTTTCCTCTTCTGACTATGAGTAATAAATGCCCATTCTCACTTAGAAAACATAGTAATATATAAAGCAGAATATCATTAAAACTCAGCACATATTAAATTCCCCTAAATCCAAAGCCCCTCAAAAGAAGGATTATACCCGCATCAAGTGAGTCATTATTTTCACAATTTCCTCCATTGAAGGGCGCTGGGAAGGATCTTTAGACCAACAACGAGTCATCAGGCTCTCAATGGGCTTAGGTAAATTTTTTATCAGTGGTGGTCGAGTACCTACAGTTGAAAATTAGAGGAAGAGGGGAAGAATGTATTTACCCAAAGAATGATGCAAACTCTTTGTACATATTTCCAAAGTGGTATTTATTTTATAGATCTTGTAGTTTAAGATCTATATTGGAGTAATAAAAGTGCTTTGTAATTTTAGCAATTAACAAGTTAGTTCTTTTACTCCTTACCTCATGGACGTTCAATTATTTACTGAAAACTGACAGAAAGCAAGCAAGCAAGCTGTCCTGGTCAATGCTGTCACAGTCTCTACAATGATACTAATGGTAGCAATATTAAAGGCAGTATAGGAAACTGGTAAAAACAGCTAAGATTACTCAGATGATGGTACTGTTTGATAAATCTATGAACGACCTACACAGTTAGGCAGACATTTGTTTTTATACTTGTGGAATAATGTAAAAAATGGCCATTAGTTACATGATTATAAATAAGGCATAGAAATGAAATAAGAGTGGCGCTAAAGTTAAGAAGCTAAGTAATTTTCCTTCATGAAAAGCTATTTACCCAAGCAAATGTAAAGTAACTTGACTAATGAAGAGGATGCATTCTAACATCATATGTGGTTAAAAACAATACCAGAACTATAAAAGAAACAGGATGGATGCAAGGACATTGAGTCCATAAGTCAATATGACTGAAGATATGAGCATTCAAGTTAGAAGCATCTGGATTTGAATCCCAGCTCTACCACTTACTAATCTTGTGATATTAAGCAAGTTATTTAACTTCTTTAGGCCTCAGTTTCCTAATCTGTAAAATGAGGCAACAGTACTTACCTTCTAAGGGTGGGTGAGAATATAAACAGGAACAATGTGTGAAGCATTATTATGCTTTGCTTTTTCTCCTTGATGAGGCCCTTGCTTCTTCAGGAGAAAAGGGCTACAACTCTCCAGTTATATTAACCATGTCAGAGATTTTATGTATGTATTTTTTTATTTTTTCCAGGATCTAGCCTGAGGTTTCTCCCTAAGAGACAGCCAACCTAGACAGTGGGCTCTGGTTGTGTACTGATGGCCTTTCCCTAATCAGCGCAGCCAGTGAACATCCTCAGCTGCATGTGTAGACCAGGACTACTCTTAATCCTGCTCTGCTGGACTCTGGGGCAGGGACAGGGCAGAGTCTGATAATGGTAAAGGAGTCTCTGAACAAAGAATTGTACATTTTAATGTTACAGATAAATGATATTCTTTAGGGAAGGGGACAGGAGCAGTCTTCCAAGTAGAAAACACAGTAAGTACATTTAAGAAAAATTGCGTTTTACGAACCATTATGAACAGCCCACATGATTCGGAAAGCTGGGCCACCAATCTCATCAAAGGGTTTCCGACGCGTTATCACTTCCCAAAGAATAATACCCCAGCTGAAGACGTCACATTTTTCACTGTAATTACTACCTAGAAAAAAAAAGGTGGTATATAACCTAAAGACTATTTTTCCACATGACTTACAGAAACAATGGCTTACATTTTGAGAATGGGTATCATGGATAAAAACAAGGCTGTCACACATAGAACTAAGAAACTACTCTTTCTGAAGTACTTTGTCTTTTCAACAAGTACATTTTTAAATGAATTAAGTATCAACGATACACGAAGAAAATCTACTTCAGAAACTTGGTTATTTTCTGTCTTTTCATCATGAGGCATAGGACTTGACTTTTATGTATTTAGACTGATACTTTCTCTGGGGCAGAGTATGAAACATCTGTACGTTCCTTTATGTTGTTCATTATTATTTTATTCTGAGACAGGGTCTCATACTCTCATCCAGGCTGGAGCTCAGTGTAGCCTGAAACTCTTGGGCTCAAGTGATCCTCCTGAGTAGCTGGAGCTACAGGCATGCGCTGGCATAACTGGTTAATTTTCTAAATTTTTTGTAGAGATGGGGTCTTGCATTGCTGCCCAGGCTGGTCTCAAACTCCTGGGCTCAACTGATCCTCCTGCTCTGGCCTCCCAAAGCGCTGGGATCACAGGCATGAGCCATTGTGCCTAGCCTCCTTTCTGTTACATTTTAATCTTAAATTTTCTTCCCATTCTCTGATGGACAGCACTACTCTGCTATCAAAGCAGAAGAACTTTCTAATTTAGTGTTACAATTTCTTCCTCAATATATGGTGAAGGGAAATTCTTAATTTGTAACTTAAATGTAAGTTGTAAGTAATGAAAATTATGGATAACCCAAGTTATACAGCAAAATTTACAAACTAAGTAGGTGGTTGAATCAGCACAGAAAACACCCTTCATAATCTCCCAAAAACAAAAACTCAACCCACTGTAAGAATGAACAATTATTACAGCTATAGCTTTACATGCTAAGCAGTACACTGTAATATAGCACTACAACCATGCTACAATCTAATTTGGGCTATAGGTTAACTGACATCTTTCAGAAATGAAGAAACACAGCCTAACAGTCTGCACTTTGTTGCTCTAGACAATTAAGGGTTGTCTAGAGCAATAAAATTAATCTTTTGTATAAACAAATCTTTTTGCTCTCCACATACAGTAACATTAGGTCATTTTAACTCACATAAAAGTATATTACATAAGTAAATAATTTTAAAACAATGTCAAATGTATACATTCTGTATATGAAACAGGAGGCATTATTTAATCTTGTGTAATATAACACCTGATTGTTCATTCATTATTAAATTGAATTTTAGGGCAAAAGAGCTCCACTCAGGTGACTAGTTGCGTTGCAATTTCTCTTTCTCTGGGGTGGCTAAAAACAAACAGAAAACCCAAAAACTTTAAAGTCATCAAAAATAAAAGAAATAAGCTATAACCAGAGTCTGATTAACTGAATGTATCTGAATTTTATGGGCATTCACACTTCCTAACATACAAATCACACATCTTCAGTTCCACTTCTCTCGTTTAAAAGATAATTTGATGTTTTTATACAGAAACCTAGTATATAATTTACAGACAACTCTTTTAGAACTTCAGTGACATATGGAGGTATAAAAGAAGGTAAACATATAAGCTTGACCTTTATTGGTGGTCAAGCAATTTATTTGTAATTCTTAGTATCTTACTTCTGCCCAATTACTTGTATTCTTTTTTTTTTTTTTTTGAGACGGAGTCTTGCTCTGTCACCCAGGCTGGAGTGCAGTGGCACAATCTCGGCTCACTGCAAGCTCTGCCTCCTGAGTTCACACCATTCTCCTGCCTCAGCCTCCCGAGTAGCTGGGACTACAGGCGCTGGCCACTACGCCTGGCTAATTTTTTGTATTTTTAGTAGAGATGGGGTTTCACCGTGTTAGTCAGGATGGTCTTGATCTCCTGACCTCGTGATCCGCCCGCCTCGGCCTCCCAAAGTGCTGGGATTACAGGCCTGAGCCACCACGCCCGGCCACTTGCATTCTTTTTAAGGCATCCTCATTTAAACTGTAGGGCTCTCAATTTTTAATTGCTAGGAAACCAATACAAAAACACAGTTAATTCTCATTATTCCTGGTATTTATGTTCTATAAAGTTTCTGAGAACACTGAATTAGTGAAGACCGAATCATCGCTCCTAGGGAAAATACAGGGGTAGGTTCCTGTGCACCTCTGGTCACCATGTTTTTGTCAACTGATCAATATATAACCTTGTTTCATGTGTGTTTCTGCTTAAAGACACCTGATTCTTATATACTGTTGATTCATTACCATTGAACTCATAGCCAACATTTCTGTAACTCATGCCTGAATGAAGATAATCTAACACATGTATATTGTCTGTTAAGACACATCACAGCCTTCTTGTACTTAGGCAGTACTATGCTTGAGGGCCATTTTAAGTACCAAAATTACCAACAAAAATCACAAAAATGAAAAAGGGCTCTAAACGGTACAAAAAAGACACCTGCTTACAGCATGAGAGCTGAAACAAGACGGAAGAGCATTGTCTTGTTCAGGCTCAGCTGGGAACATGTATTAGATGACTCAAAATGTGCACTGCTCAGTGCATGAACACTGTCTGCGAATACATGAAAGCACCGTCTGCAAATAACCATGAAAGCACCATGAGTATTAATTTTGGTGTTACAAATAAAGTTTAGCAAATAGGCAATTTTGCAATTAAGAAATTGGTGAACAATGACGATCAACTGTACATATGCTTGAACCTGCATAGAAGATTTAAATCTTACTATAAAATTTAGGATATAACACTATATTTAATATCCCCTTAGATTTCATTGTATACTTTATGTATTATGCAGAAGTAAAACCATGGAAATGGGGAAAATCTATAAAAACATATTGAATTCACAAGGAGTGAGGGAGATTATCAAACATACCATACTTTTGCCATTTTACCTTCAAAAACTTCAGGTGCCATCCAAGCAGCACTCCCCTTGTTATTGGTCATGTGTGTCTGAATGTCACAGGCTGTACCAAAATCACAAATTTTCAGAACTGTCCCCCCTGCAACCAGCAGTAAGCTGTTTAAAAAAAACAAAAAACATCAAAAGTTACAAGGCCAACATTTTATTCTCAATAAAAGAAGAGACATTTGTGGAAATGGAAAAGGTTAAGCAAAATGAATGTTATCATTCAACTTCTGTGAAATGACTAATTTACATGGTTACTATAAAAGCCTAATAGTTCAGAGAAATATAAGCAAAAATTAATTGACCATAACCTAGCTCTCTTTGGAAGGCTGCTAGACTCACATTCTGATGTCTTCATCTCTAGCTCCATAATCTTTCCTGACTATACTTCTCTCTGGCCAAAATAAAATGTGGGTTTAAAAAACTTCTAGTAGGTCAACATTACGGTATCCTAAAATGAGAGTTTAATCATAAATATGTACTACTTAAAAAATAGTAACACTATATAATTTCATTAAAGAAAATAAGCCAATATAGAAGGAAAAAAATGGTTTGTAATTTAATATCTTTATTTTGAAGATACTTATAAAAATGCTCAATCCCAAAACCATTTTTGTGCTTAGACTATGTATGTGTGGGAGGAATAAAAATCTATTATAGCTAAAATGACCTAATGAGAGACTTCCGGAAAATTTTCTGAACTTAGGATTCTGACTTTCCTAAGTGTACTGTTACCCAACTACAATCACCAAGTAGCATACTCTTACTTACAATGTTTTGCTTTTCATGACAAACAGAAATAGAAATGTGTAATATAATTTGCACAATCACATTGTAGTAATATATCCAATAGCAGTACATAGGAATTCATTTTAATTACAAATTTTACAAACTTTTTATATCGGGAGAGATTATTTGGAAATTTCTTCTTTTAGTCCAATGTGACTAAAATAAGCCAGATAAACTACTATTCACAGTTCCATAATACCAAAAAGACTCTCATAATCATTCCAATGAAAAGAATGCTAAATCCAGTATACCTCTACATGTACTCCAACAAAACTTTTTCCCCCATCTCGATGTTCTTGTTCAAACTCTTACACTTTTTACCCAAGAAAATTATAGGAACTCTGTAACTAGTTTCCTTGTTTTACACTGGTATATTCAAGATATCAAGATAATTTCTGATAATTCAAGATAATTTTCCCGAATGAGTTTTATGTTAGTACTCCTTTACTCGACTTCAAAAGCTCACCAGCCTTGAACAGGAAATTCAAGGCTCACTGAGATCTGAACTTAAATTATCTTTGTAGGCTTATTTCTCATGTACATGTGAATAAACTTGCAAAAGATAAAATACAAGCACAAGCACAACTTGATTGTGTATAAAACACCTCCCTAGATCATCAGGTACCTTCTTTAGATACCATTTGAGGAACTCTTCCTGACCACAGAAACTGTAGGTTTTCCACTGACAATAAGATACAGCGGGTATTGGCCGGGAGCGGTGGCTCAGGCCTGTAGTCCCAGCACTTTGGGAGGCTGAGGCGGGCGGATCACGAGGTCAGGAGATTGAGAATATCCTGGCTAACACGGTGAAACCCCGCCTCTACTAAAAATACAAAAAATTAGCCAGGCGTGGTGGCACCTGTAGTCCCAGCTACTCTGGAGGCTGAGGCAGGAAAATTGCTTGAACCTGGGAGGTGGAGGTGGCAGTGAGTTGAGATGGTCCCACTACACTTCACCCCGGGTGACAGAGTAAGACTCCATCTCAAAAAAAGAAAGAAAAAAAGATATAGCAGGTATTCATGTACGTCCAGTTGTATATAAAAGCATAGCCATTCCAAAGAACTTTCTTTTACCCAGTACTTTCTGCATTAGAATCAATTCTGATTCTAAAGTTCAACTTGTATACCAGGGGCTCCAAAGATGATCTGCAAAATGAATCCAATCATGGAGAGGCCTGGAATACATGACCTAGACCAGACTTTCTGTAAATATATTAATGGTATTTACTAGCAAAAGGAGAGTCTCTATCTATAAATGATTTTAGAAGGATACATCTGGTCTAACTAGGTTGACTAAATAAACCTAAAATTTATGTGGCACGGTTGGGTGAAGATTAGGGATAGTCGTTTAAGCTGTGTAATTAGTGCAATGTAAAAGATGTTAAAAAATGGAAATGATTTCCTTTTGTAAGATACTTCTCCATATATTGTTCAATAACTAATAATTTATTCCAAAGCCAAAACATATTGTAATGAGGAGAAAAGGGATACTTTCGGGTGTTGCATCAGATGCGTTCAGGCTCTTTTAGGAAAAGAATGCTTTGGCTGTACTTGATGCTTGCCTATATCCTTTGGATCATTTGTCAATTTGCTGCTGGTTAAGAGCTGTGATTCTCATGAGTTTGCTTTAATAATTCAACTCTGTTAATATAGTGGGAATATTCACAACCAGGAAAAAAAATATAGAGTGATTTCTTCATTAAGAAATCACTTAATGTTAAGGCAGGTAACCAAGATAGTAGCCTCAGGAAAAATAAAAGCTTAAACATTATTTTATCAGTGACCTGGGGAAACAGAAATCAGTTTAAGTTTGGGAGCAGAGATAAGATACACTAGCAAGAACAGTGATTCTAAGAGTTGGAACCTATGTAGAGTATATCAGATTAGACCTGAGAGTGACAAGTTACACCCAGAAGGGATGTTTTAATGCTTTAACCCAGTATCAAGAGAATGAAATAACTGAAGACTATATTGATTTCCTAAGGGAAATCTCTACTGTAAAGACTAATGTGCTGGGGTGGGAGCTTGGGGAAGGGTAAAGAAGGTATGTGGAGACTATTTTTACTCTGTCACAGGGGCATAAAAGAAAAAAAAGAGAGAAAAGGAAACAATATGTTTTATGTGTATATTTTCTTTAACTGAATATCTATACAAACAAAAACCCCAAAGTTTTAGTCTTTTAAAATACTTATCTAAGGAATTTGTAAGTTTTTTAAAGTCCCAAGTATTCACATTATGAAGAATCCAGAATATTTTCAATTTCTACCCAGATACCAAGAAATACTCTTTTACTTCCCTCTGAAAGAGCAAGTAATAACAACTCTGCAAATTTTTGTAGAATGTTTATGTGCTAGGTGTTAGGGACACAGCAAGAAAAACGTCAGACCTGTCTCTGCCCTCAAGGAATTGTCTAACAGCAATATTATATACTGCAGGCACAAAATGAGATTTTTATAGGCTAACAGAGTCTAGAAGTATGCTAATCTAAGGTAGAAGTTACCAAAAATAAAAATCCCACTAAAGACAACATCTAAAATACAAGCTTAGATAAATGACTCAATGATGAAGGTGAGTTAGTAAACATTGAGTAAGCCAAATAGAGAAAAGAGAAACTCCTGTACAATAATCAGCTTGAATTCGAGAGTGAGAAAGAAGGAGGAAGGGGCTGAGGTGTGTCACGTTATTAGAACTTACTTTGGTGGTTTCAGGTCCCTGTGAATTAGCGCTTTGGGTTGCATGCTGTGAAGATAAGCCACTCCTTGGGAACACTGTAAACACCAACTCATTGCGTGGGCAGCAGTATAATATGGCAATGGTTCAGCACCATGCAGCACTGCAAAAAAAAGGCACAAACTAAAAAGAACTTTATTGCATATAACAAAAGACACAACGTGAATGCAAGCACTATCAGAATACATGACTGGGTATTTTTCTACATATACATATGTTCCATCAGTTCTGCTTTTAATTGTTTTCTTTCTTTTTTCTTTTTGTTTTTTGAGACGGAGTCTCACTTTGTCGCCAGGTTGGAGTGTAGTGGTGCGATCTTGGCTCACTGCAACCTCCGCCTCCTGGGTTCAGATGATTCTCCTGGCTCAGCCTCCCGAGTAGCTGGGACTACAGGTGTGTGCCACCATGCCCAGCTAATTTTTGTATTTGTAGTAGAGACAGGGTATCACCATGTTGGCCAGGATGGTCTTGATCTCTTGACCTCATGATCCGCCTGCCTTGGCCTCCCAAAGTGCTGGGATTACAGGCATGAGCCACCATGCCTGGCCTTTTAATTTTTTTTTCTAAATAAAAAGGATGAAAATATCTAATAATTTTGAGTGGATAACTGCCATAATAGTAACATTTAATAGTACATCTATTAAATGTTATTCCTACATTCAAGTAAAATCAAATATACTTTACCACACTTTTTCAAACACATAAAGACTTTCATAAAGTAATTTAAATTATGAGCAGTCTTATGGCACACTACTACAAGAGAGAGGCAGAGCATAGTACAGAAAGAAACAAAACAATGTATATCAAGATGTTTGCACCTGTATTTTCTGTAATGGCTAAAAACCAGAAGTAGTTCAATCAAATAAAACAATAGGGTATTAGATATCCATCAACAATGAAGAACACATGGGCAGTAAATATAAGTAAAAGTTTACATAAAATAATATTAATTATAAAATAAGATGTAACAATTTGTTTTATATAACTAGTGCTACAACAGACAATACATGTCTGCATATGATTGGTATTTTTAGGGTAAAAGAGTTCTGTTCTACAAAGGTAACTACACAAGGTTTTTTTCATTGCTACAAATAAAAGGTTGTGTGAAGTGAGTTTTCACAATTTTTTTTTTTAAAAAGAAAAAAATAAAGCAGAGTGAAATGGAAATATGGTTAAAGAGTTCTAAAATGAGGAGGCTCAACGTTATGAGGGCAAAAAGAAAAAAATCTGAAGATATTTTAAAATCTATTTAAAAAGTAAATTTTTACTTAAATGCTTTTAATGAAATGCAAAGTACCATCTACTTAAAAAATTGACAGACCTCTAAATTTCACAAACTAATGTTATAGAATCTTATCTTTCCATTTTTATTCTTTAGTAGATTTTAAAAAATCATGTCCTTTTGAGACTCTGATGGCAAATTGTGAAGAATGTTAAACAACTTATGGTTTATATTAAAAGTTTTCGAATTATTTTAATCTGCTAGATAAAGACAGGTCTAGTGACACTCACCATTATATAAAGAGCCCCCTTCAGCATATTCCATCACAAGACACACCTAAAGGAAACATATACAAGAAGCATTAACCAAGAAGCTCCAGCATCTTAGGGCCTTTGAGAGATAATTTAATTCACTCCCCTGATTTTACAGATATATTAAAAATCATTCTTGGGCCCCTACTATGTGAACAGTACTAGGGAAGGAAAGGATATCTATGACCTAAGACTGTCTTCTAGGAGTCCGCTAAGAGTGAAGATATATGTAAAATACAATCACAAGATATTTTGGGGACTTTCTCCAGTGCCAGTAAGTAGGTGCTACCACAGGATATCAAAAGCCTCATAAGAAGACGAGGGTATTGGACAAGATCATCTAAAATAGCTCTTCCAACACACTGTTTTGCTAAAAGACTAGAAACAAGTCAAATGAACAAACTATAACTGTTCTTTCAGAAATACATCTAAGATAGCAGATCAAAATAGCTACACAGGAGGTTCCAAGATGGCCAAATAGGAATAGCTCCAGTCTACAGCTCCCAGCGTGAGTGACACAGAAGACAGGTGATTTCTGCATTTCCAACTGAGGTACCAGGTTCATTTCACTGGGGCTTGTCAGACAGTGGGTGCAGCCCATGGAGTGTGAGCTGAAGCACAGCAGGGCATTGCCTCACCTGGGAAGCACAAGGGGTCGGGGAATTCCCTTTCCTAGCAAAGGGAAGCTATGACAGATGGTACCTGGAAAATCAGGACACTCCCACCCTAATACTGCACTTTTCCAACGGTCTTAGCAAACGGCACACCAGGAGATTATATCCCATGCCTGGCTCGGAGGGTCCCACGCCCATGGAGCCTCGCTCACTGCTAGCACAGCAGTCTGAAATCAAACTGCAAGGCAGCAGCGAGGCTGGGGTAGGGGTGCCCACCATTGCCGTGGCTTGAATAGGTAAACAAAGCAGCCAGGAAGCTTGAACTGGGGGGAGCCCACCACAGCTCAAGGAGGCCTACCTGCCTCTGTACACTCCACCTCTGGGGGCAGGGCATAGCTGAAGAAAAGGCAGCAGAAACTTCTGAAGACTTAAACGTCCCTGTCTTGACAGCTTTGAAGAGAGTAGTCGTTCTCCTAGTATGGAATTTGAGATCTGAGAACAGACAGACTGCCTCCTCAAGTGGGTCCCTGACCTCCGAGTAGCCAAACTGAGAGACATCTCCAGTAAGGGCCGACTGATACCTCATACAGCCGGGTGCCCCTCTGAGACAAAGCTTCCAGAGGAAGGATCAGGCAGCAACATTTGCCATTCTGCAATATTTGCTGTTCTGCAGCCTCTGCTGGTGATACCCAGACAAACAGGGTCTGGAGTGGACCTCCAGCAAACTCCAACAGATCTGCAGCTGAGGGTCCTGACTGTTAGAAGGAAAACTAACAAACAGAAAGGGCATCCACATCAAAACCCCATTTGTATATCACCATCATCAAAGACCAAAGGTAGATAAAACCACAAAGATGGGGAGAAACCAGGGCAGAAAAACTGAAAATTCTAAAAATCAGAGCGCCTCTTCTCTTCCAAAGGAACGCAGCTCCTCACTAGCAATGGAACAAAGCTACATGGAGAATGCCTTTGACGAGTTGAGAGAAGAAGGCTTCAGATGATCGGTAATAAAAAACTTCGAGCTAAAGAAGGATGTTCGAACCCATCGCAAAGAAGCTAAAAACCTTGAAAAAAGACTAGACAAATGGGTAACTAGAATAAACAGCATAGAGAAGACCTTAAATGACCTAATGGAGCCAAAAACCATGGCATGAGAACTACATGACGCAGGCACAAGCTTCAGTAGACAAATCGATCAAGTGGAAGAAAGGGTATCAGTGATTGAAGATCAAATGAATGAAATGAAGTGAGAAGTTTAGAGAAAAATGAATAAAAAGAAATGAACAAAGCCTTCAAGAAATATGGGACTATGTGAAAAGACCAAATCTATGTCTGATTGGTGTACCTGAAAGTGACGGGCAGAATGGAACCAAGCTGGAAAACACTCTTCAGGATATTATGCAGGAGAACTTCCCCAACCTAGCAAGGCAGGCCAACATCCATATTCAGGAAATACAGAGAACGCTACAAAGACAATCCTGGAGAAGAACAACTCCAAGACACATAATTGTCAGATTCATCAAAGTTGAAATGAAGGAAAAAATGTTAAGGGCAGCCAGAGAGAAAGGTCGGGTTACCCACAAAGGGAA